TTAAAAAACAATTTTTTTTTTTTTTTTTAGAGTTTGAGTCTTGCTGGGTTTTCCAGGCTGGTTTAAAATTTCTGGCCCAGGCCGGGCTCGGTGACTCAGCCTGTAATCCCAGCAGTTTGGGAGGCCGATGTGAGTTGATTACCTGAGCCCGCGGGTTCAAGACTCACCTGGGCAACTTGGCGAGACCTCACGGCCACCGCAGCCTCCACCTGCTGGGCTCAGGCGATCCCTCCGCCTCAGCCTTCCAAGTGACTGGAACCACAGGCGCGCGCCACCATGCCCAGCTCTCTACACCATGCCCGGCTCTCTACAATAAATCAAAAATTAAGCCGGGCGCGGTGTAGTTCCGGCTACTTGGAAGGCTAAGACTGGAGGATCGCGGGAGCCCAGCGGGTTGACGCTGGTGTGACCGTGAGTGTGCCACTGCTCTCCAGCCTGGGTGAAGGAGTGAGACTCCAACTAAAAAAAAAAAAAAAATTCCTGACTTGGAGTAGTTTTCCTCCCTGTGCCTCCAAAAATACTGGGGTCACAGGCTTGAGCCTAGCTTGGCCCCTCTTCTTGATTCATTAAAGATAATTCTCAAGTGGTCTTTACACACGTGTTCTTTTCCCCACAGCGTCATTTCCATGTACATACATTAATACTTAATTGCTTTAGGCAACTTACTAAGAACTTGAGGCAAAGCACAGCTGTTCTCTGCCTCTAGGTGGAGATTAGGGGTAAGACCTTTGCTTAGGTGGAACATAACCATTAACCCGACCTGGTGGTTGTTTCAGATCCAGCCAGCTGGCAACCATGAGTGAATGGATGAAGAAAGGCCCCTTAGAATGGCAAGATTATGTTTACAAAGAGGTCAGGGTGACAGCCAGTGAGAAGCACGAGTATCAAGGCTGGGTTTTAACTACAGACCCAGTCTCTGCCAAGTGAGTATGCATCCTGCTTCCCCGAAGTCCTGGTGCCCCTCTGTGCTTTCTGTGTGTTACAGCCAAACTAAAAGCAGATAGAAAGGCTGTTTATTCTCAAATAAGAATATAATAGCCTTTGAATCTAAGTGCTGTTCCAACTATGGATCAACCTGTCAGACCAGACAAGTTTATAGAAGTGGGACATAGGCATTTTTCTTAAAAAAAAAAAAAAAAAAAATATATATATATATATATGTATTTATTTATATATAAATATATATGTTTTTGAGTCAGTCTCACTCTGTTGGCCCAGGCTGGAGTACAGTGCCATGCTTATGGCCACCAAAGCCTTGACCTGCTGGGCTCAGGCCATCCTTTTTGCCTTAGCCAAGTAGCTGGAACCACAGGCGTATGCCACCACTCCTGGCTAAAATTCTTTTTTTTTTTTT